GGTATTTGGTTCTTTAATATATTTACATTAATATTCTTTCATGTTTATTCTATACTTCAGTAATTGTATTTATTTGATATGTAAACTTATCATTATTTCATAGGTATTCTACTTTATTATAGGCCTACTTTGTAGCTTATACCATAGAGAAAATAGAACAGAAGGAGTAACATCGACCGAAGATCAAAGGTACAGACCTCCTCGCCGCGATCGTAATTATCTCACCGTTACGTAACCTACTTGACAACAAGATAAGCTGAAATCGACAAACGCGCATGCGTCGATAACTCTTACAATCATAACATAGCAACGTATCGCGAGCGAGATCGTCGTGATTGAAATAGATAGTGCTGTGATAAGCTCCGCGGGTGGCCGTAGTGCAATTTAATAGGCACTAGCTGACTGTTTAATTGGATTAAAGATAAGCGATAAAGTCGATGTTACTCCTTCTGTTCTATTTTCTCTATGCTTATACACACCATGTACACACTTATCATTTCATATATTCTATACTTTAGTCATTGTAGTTTATCTGATATATTCCCTGATATACTCAATTCAGTCATTGTAGTATTTGATGTGTTATCCATGCTTCACTTGTTGTAGTGGTATTTACATAAATTTCATAATTTAATTTTATACTGTTTAAAAGATTTTGCATTGAGGTATTTATAACATTATACATACATACAAAAATAAAGGATATTAAATAATAAATTATTAAATAATTATTATTTGTATAAGTATTATTTATATAATTATTATTGCCAAGAAATGTTGGACCAAGGTTGGACAAAATTGTTCTACTCTCTAGCCATAGAGGTACAATTATTATTAGATTTCATCCTTGTTAAAAAAATCTCCTGTTAAAGTACTTAAAAAGCTAGTCAATAAAAATTCTACCGACCAGTACAACTATTATCCAAATACATTGTCACAGATATCCCTGGATGTGGACAAGTCTGGACCTGGCATGAAGATAGTGGTATACACTATGATGAGCTTATTAAATGGTGAAATAATCTATAGAACAGAAGTTTAAGAAATTAAGTCATGCACAGAAGAATACAAATTTTACTTGATCTGCTTGGTACATACTTTTTACTAGATTAAATATCAGGGGTTTCCTAAATGTTTCCAAAACCCCCAAAATAAAAGGGGGTCCGAGATGGCCTGAAATGAGCTTTCCTGACTTCTGAGGAGTCTTTCATTGACCTTTTTAAAGGAACTTACAAGAACTTAAAACTTAAAAACTGAAAACTCAAACTTAAAATTTCACAAAATTCAAGGTTTTCATCCTCTTGGAAAAGGTCAGGTAAGTTTATCTCATTCTTTAGGCCTATACATAGAGAAAAAAAAATCAAAGACAGGCATTATATTATTATATTCCAACAATATTGAACAGTTAGATTTGTAGTGTTCTTTCATGGATTGATGAACCTAGATAGGCCTGAAGAACGAACTTTTGCGACGTCGAAATTCGGGTATAATAATATTTAATTGAAGACTAGTTGGGCTAAGCCTAGTTTGTCTGATCTGCCAACATATGCCTAGATAGTTAGCATGCCTTTTGTCAGGACCCAGTATAGTAGTATTTTGTGACATTTCTTCACAGAGGGAATCCCCCCCCCCCTTTGCTAGATCCGCCACTGTTTTTGTCTGCCAAACAAAAAAGAAATTGGGAGAACTAAGAAAATCAAATCAAGACCTTGAGTATTCTTTTAAAAGTATCAAATAAGTTAGAACTTCTATCCAGAGATAGATTGGAAAAAAAATAAGTTTTCGCTATTAATTTAGACGTTTTAATTTGATTAATCAGCCAATATAAGTGTCTGTATATTAACTTTACAAAATTTAAGTTACAAAATCAAATAAAAACAAACCAAAAAAAAAAACAAGACAAAAGAAATATACAGTATTATGTTATGTATTTGTTAATAGTTTAGAAAGGTTGATAGGTACTAGATTAAATATGTCTGCCAAACAAAAAAAAATTGGGAAGAACCTCAACAATTCAAGACAGACCTTAATATCCATATATCAAAAAGTTAGAAGAGAGAGATTAAAAAAAAAAAAAAAATAGTTTACGCTAATTTGAAGACGTTTAAATTGATTATTAGCCAATATATGTGTCTATGAAAATAAATGCAGGAAAGGTATTATGTAACTCTCTGTTAATTGATAGGGATTTTTTTTCTTTTAGTTTTTAATTGTAATTTATTAACTCAATTATATATCAATTTTATTCAAATATGGAATGTTTCCATTTTGTAGCTTATAACAAGCTCTATATCTTTAATGATATTAGTTTGATAGCAAATCAGTTCAGATTTTTTCTCTAGAATTTTTCAATTGAAAAAAACAAAACTTAAAACTACAGTATTACTACAACTCGTCATTGATTATAGACCATTGTGGATTCCTAATTTAATTATATTTGAGCTTCCTTTAATAATTTCAACAAACGGGTGTGACCCTTAAGTGACCAGTCACTAGTATTGCTTTAACAATGGAACAAATATAACAATAATGAATATAGTAGTATCATATGACTCTTCAGGTTATATTAAAATATTATTCATTGGAAAATGCAATGAATTTTGTTATATTGCTAACTGTTATGTATGTAATGATAATTACGACCATTATTTCGTCATAATTTAATTTATTTATGTCAAGAATATTTGTTATAATTTTTGGTCTAATAAAACAATCTGAGTTCTGAGTTCAGTTCGCAAAAAGATTTTGATAGTATCAGTATAGCAATCAATACCTAAATAATAATAATAATAATAATGATAATGATAATAATAATAATAATAATTTAATGAAGAATTTGAAAATGGAAAACTTGATCATAAAATAATTGTTTTTCGCAAGGCCATTTAAAAGTATATATTAAGTACAACATTTAAATAACAAAATCAAAGTAAAAAAACAAGACAAAAGAAATATATTATCTTAAGCAAGAAACTTTCAATTATTTGTTAATAGTTTTTTTAAAAGTATGAACATTTGTGGCCATTCTCCTATTGCAATAAAGTAATCTATGTATAATAACAATAATGATAATAATATTTTATTTGTAAAAAAAAGCATTTATAACCATGTTTCCTGAATGATTTACACATACTGTAAATAATAATTTTAAATAACTGTTAATTTAATGTTTTTAGCAGTTTTTTGATAATGTTATATTGTTCTCACAGACTGATGACTTATTGTTTTAATTTTTAATTGTATATTTATTTTGGTCCATCTTTTTGACAAATAGAATAAAAATATAAAAATATATTTGGCAGATAGATCATCAAATGACTTACAGGACAAAAAATAGTATTAGAAAAAAATAATGATGATAATATTATTTTGATGTGTGTTGCATCAGGAAAAGAGTGATGTTTTATAATATTGAAGATAAATAGCATAGGATAGATTAGTTAGTTAGGACAAATAAACCAAGCTCCGCAATTGATAAAAAGCCAAGGAGTATCAAAAGCGATGAAACCACCAGCATCCAATGCAATTTGGTAACAATTCTGTAGATGAAACAAAGAAACAAGTCATGCACCATAACCAACTTGTTTCCATCGGGGAATAACCTTTGACAGTATTCAACAAAGGAACTCCCCTAACAGGAATCATGCACCGGTCCAGAATATTTCCACGCTAAAATTTGTGCCGAGTCATCAGTTAACTTGGGCTTCATGCAAATTTGCCAAGACGATATCGCATTCATCCCCAGGGTTGGCTGAGCGTAACGGAAATGTACGCTGCGTAGGTAATACGCAGTGATCCGTATGCGAATCACAGGGAAAGAAACTAAGCTTAATGAAAACAGACAAGGATAAGCTATAATCTTGCGGGCTCTCGGAAAAAGTAAACCTTACAAGTTTTAAAATTGTTTATCTGTTTTGGCAGGTTGTACTGTAGTAACAGAAACCTACATTTAATGAATTGTAAATGTTTCAATTTTGTAGAAAGATATACATAGCAAGGTGAATTATGTTATTTATCTGTATAAATTTTCCTTCAGCATCCAATAGAGAGAATACTCACTAATATAAGTATTTTATCTTAGTTCATAAATTTTCTAAAATGGGTAATATCAAGGAGTGACTTATCATCTACAGAATGAAATTAATGCTTTATAAACCAAGTCTCGCAATGAATGGTTTAAAGCCGAGTGTTGCTTCACTGCAAGTTGCAAAATGCGAGTTGCAATTGGCAAATTGCACAAAAGAAACCCTCTTAAACAAATTCTTATATTTTCGTGTCTCTATTTAATTAACATTTTTCTATCTTTGTCAATTTAAAGTTGGAGGTATGTCCTGGTCCCGACCCTTTAATGTCACTATTGGAGAGGCTTATCTTCATAAGACTTCTACGAATGGATACCTTGTTCGAAGCAAGAAATCAAGTTGTCTTTACACAGTACCGCTCGTATATTATATTTGTATGGGAAATTTTTAACTTAGGACATGCGTGTATTCCTGGTTGTTCTGATTGGTCAGTTTTTAAGTTTGATGGACACTAAAGAGGTCCATTGCTGCAAGAGGTTCTCTCAACCGCATTTTCCAACCTGCAACTTGCATTTTGCAACTCGCACGGAAATAACACTCCAATTGCATGGGTTGAACCTGGAGTTCTGTGTTTAGATGGTAGGCACTTTTACCGATTCCCTCCCACTCAGACCTGTGCGTCGTACAAAAATCTGGTGTCAATTTGGGTCGGTAGATTGGTACAAGGGGGTATAGGGTGCTGCTGCCAAGTTGATTCAGAGAGGCCTGGATGCCTAGCTGTCAAAGGCTTGATCCTATGCCAATACAAGGCTTGTTCAACCTTGTGACATTTGCGCGGCAGTGACATATTATTCCATACGTATTCGGACTCATTTCACGAGTCGATACTTGTATGAATGATATGAATTTTTGGATAGATGAGTCGCTTGTTGAGAACACTGTAAATGGATAACCTGTTGAATGTCTATTTATTTCTAGCCTGGCTCCTGTATATATCAACTTCATACGGATTGCAGTAAAGTTTATATTGCTTGCATATATCTGGAGACAGGGTTTTATTGAATAATTAGGAACACATCGCTTTTTGATGACAGTGGCACATTGCTGCTTCTGTTCTATTCTATGAACCATTTAATAATTATAATGTGCAAATATTAATATTTTCAAAGCACTGGAGATTGAAGGTTGCAAAACTATTGTGATTGTCCTTTAAATTGTAATTAGATATATTAATTATATGAAAATAAAAACAAACAATAATAACCGTATTTATTTGAATAAATGCCTGTTGAGTTTATTGTTGAGAAGTGTTTTTTGTGGAGGCATTTATTCAAGAGCGGTGTTTATTTTTTTAGGTGTAAAATGGATATGTATACTCAAACAAATAAAAGCCCCTTAATTTCTGTAGTAAATATGGAATTACAACACATACAAAATTCAAAATGTCAAAATGTGTTAGTGTGTGATCATAAAGACTTATACTTTGACTTTTGACTCATTTATTTTAGTACTTCCTGCCAACTACAATCAATTTACCGTTTCTGTTCTATTGAATTTAATATGTGCAAGGCAAGATAATTATATGAAATTGTATATGAATTGAACAATGTTTGAGTTTCAATACTATAGAGGGCTCACTTCATTCTAGTGCTTAGATGATCAGCAATATTCTAGGTGTATGTTTATGATGGTGCTGACAGAAGTTTTTGCAATTCTTTTTAGGAAGTACTTTGCATTGTGCCAGGGGAGGCAGCATGGAAGGTCGGCTATCCTCATGGGATGTAGCCACCTGTTGCCTAAATCAATTTGCAATTGGTAGGCAAGAGGCATAGGTCCCCGGTACTGGTACTGGTAGTAGGGAGAGAGAACTGAATTTATAACTATTGCAGTTTGTTGACTACTGAATTGGACAACACTCATATGATATTGAAATTGTGTTAATTGATTGGTTGATGGGAACAAGGTGGTCCGGCAATATGTCTGTCAAACTTAGATCAAACAAGTCCCAGCAAACAGGATGTGATCCTTCTGTTTTGTAATCTTTCAAACAAATAAGATAGTTCCAATGCAATGAAAACATTAATAGGATATGTATTAAAATAGTACTTCAAAATATCTCTTGGGCTGCATACTGTAGTCTTTCAAACTTATTTTTAAAAGAAAAGTTAAATATCAGTATTAAAAATTGTAAATCCAAAGTCTTATTAAAAACAGCAATTGAATAAAATATTTTCAAAATGTCTTAATTGTGTGAAAGAATAAGAATTAGAAAATTTAGGGTTAACATTTATTTATTTATTTATTTTTTTTTTATCTTACAATCTTACATATATGTCTCCCTCCAATTAAAGACCACTTTTGGAGGTTTCCATGGTGTTTAACTGCTTTGTTCTATAATAGGAATAAAGATAAAAGACACTTGTTCATTTGGGGCCACAAAAAAGTGGTCTTTATTTGGAGGTGGCCTTTAATTGGAGCAGTCTTTAATTAGACAGAGACCTGTATACACATTGAAATTTTACCAAATACCTGTTTGTACTCCGGGTGGAGACAAAAGTTAGGTATAAAATGCATTGCCAAGTTGATAGTGAGGGATGCAATCCACCGACTTTATAGGTCTTTGCCCGAATCACAACCTTCACGCAAACCCGGTATCAAAAGAAAACATAAAATTCCTTGCCAAGAATGCAAGCGAGTTAATTGAGTAAGATCCAAGACCCCGACCTTACAGTTGTTAGCCCGAAGTGCAACCTCTCCACGAACTGCTAAAGAGAAAATCTAAAAGAGAAATATAAAATGCCTTGCCAAGGACACAAGAAGTTAATAGTGTGGGATCCAATCCCCAGATTTTACAGTTCTTAGCCTGAATCGCAACCTCACGAACCACTATCAAAAGAAAAAAGAAAGATATTAAAAAACAAACAATAGAGTTTATCCTAGAAGGCTTTACCCATCAAGGCATCCCTTATCTAGATTGTTCATTTGTTTCTCGAGGGACATCATTCCCATTGTCCTACTATCATTCTCGATTCGACAAAAGCCAAAGTTTGAAGTTAATTCCAGCGCTGATAAAAATACAAAAGAGGAAGTATCAACATTTACGATGACAAAATCGTCGCAACTTGTCCAAGTGTGTATTTTTCCTGTAAAAGCTTTTTAAGTCATTATATTCTAGGCAAGGTATTGCTCCCAATTTCCTTGAACTTAAAACCATCCACCCTAGTTTAGGTAACATGTTGCAACTTGTCTGTTCACCAGACTGCGAAATGTAGAGGTCAACCTTCACAATTTGGTAGAAAAATCAACCAATCAAATGCATTCATTTGGGCAACTGGAGATTAAAGACTTTATATATATATATATTAACATTTTTTTTCTCATGGATGTATTTTTTTGTTTTAAATTTTGACGATGCCAAAAATATTAAAATTAAAAATTACTTTTAATTACTATTAATGTTGTTTTATTTAATCTTTGTATACAACATTTTTCTGCTACTTAAGTCTTATCTACTGCAGACATGCAGTGGATGTATAACATGTTAACACTCTATTAGCTCATAATCCGCAAAATGTAAATAAATATTTAAACCGTTTACATTGCTTTGAGTAATTTACTGGTGGTAATTAGGTTTTAATTGTCAAAATTAGAACTGGAAAATAATGCTGGATTTGTAGGGAAAATAGTGTCCCCCATCTGGATTTGAACAGAAGACTGATATCATTCAGTTTCAAAATTTTTTTGAAGTTACAGTATTGTATAAAGTCATCATGATAATATAACAAAACTTACTATACAATCTTTACTTCATTAACATATTACATCAAATTATGGAATAGTTTCTTTGTACCTAATTTGTAATTATTTGAACCTGTTACTACTTAGGTCACGATTTATTACACTGAAATACAAAATTCTTGTGAAGGGTTTAACTAATATTAATTAAGATTATTCTGGAAACATCTGTGTATTTCATCTTAATGTAATTACACAATTTACACAGGATAAAGATTCGGAAACTGTCTGATTATACACTTGCATTTATACACCTAAAGCGTGTTACGTGATCTGCTATCAAAGTACGGTATAGATTTACTACGTTTCGTATCCCATCTGCGAATGAGTATTGGAAATGTCATGGAGTCTCCCTTCCTCTACGCTCTAATTAACCCAATCGTTTTCTGACAGGAGCATTTATGAATAATTACCTGCTATTTCCTCCTCTCCCTTAACTGTGTGAAATAAATCAGAAGTTTGCAGGGTAGATGACTAAAAAGGAACCATATGTATGAGAAATATGATACTTTTTTTCTCTTTTTAATAGATGTAGCAGTTCAACGCATATAAAAATTGAACAAATACAGACCATGTAAGAATAACCAAATTCCGATGTATCCTGTGTTAGGTCGTTAAAATCCTTAACCTGGAACTCACATACTCTGCAATTTGAACTTTCCTAATTCACAGAATTTGAACCAGCATGTACAAACATGGGTGCTAGGGAGTTAACCAAGGAAGTTATACAGCATATTTACTTAAATCAGCTTGTAAATTTCTCTCTTTCAATGTAATTTTTAACCTCTCATTGCCTATGGCGTTTACTTGGTCTTTACATAGTATGGGATATGTTTCCTATAAATGAAGGTTAGAAATTTCATGTACCGGTATTTTTCTAATTAATACTCACTCAATTTGTAGTGAAAATAATGATAAAATATTAATGAAAAAACACTGGTAGATAGTAATGTATTTTTATTTGAGAAAGCTTTTAAATTGTTAAAGTTTTTGAATAAATTGCTGTTATTCCAATTTACTTCCAAAATCAAGCCATCCTTGTTCATTTCATTTAAATATATTACCATTAGTTACTCTTTTTAGGTTTTAATATCTACATAATTATTAGTTTAGTTTTGTTGCTATCCACAACAGTTTTATTTCCTGAATAATTATTTGCGTAGTTGAAGTTAAAAAAAAATATATAGAAGGCAAATATAAATATATACCTAAGGTTAAAATTTAAGTTAATTCCAAAGTAGCTAAATTTCCACAAGGCCAGGTGTACTCTAAGAACTGCATTTCATTTGCTATCCTGTTATGTTATTTAGCTTGAATTATTCAATGTTCCTGTGGATCCAGGTTACAGTCAAAACTAATTTGTGTGGGCTGAAAAGTACTAGACATTCAGCCGAAATCAGTGGGGGTAAAGACACTTAATTCAGGGTCAGACATGCCTTACATTTAGCTAGGCATTTAGCCGTATTCGTACCCATTATGATAATTTGCCAAATGGTATAACATGGATTATTAGGAACAACTAAAACCAGTTGATTCAAATATTTATATTCTTTAACGCTAATTCTATAACATTCTAAAGATCCTGGGATTGACTCTTGATGTACTGTACTGCCCAATTTATTGAAATAAGATTTTATTTTCAGTATTTGTTACATTTATTAAATTTCATATTTTGCTGAAGATTATACAATAATTATTCCAATTATACTGGAATACTGAGCTTTTTAACATGTTTCTTTGGAGAACGCAAGGATGTGCGCAAAACTCAGCCTGCCATCAATATTCAGCTGACAGTGTCGCGTTGCCAAGTGCTCATAGAGAGCGGAGATGGATCGCAGTGTGTTCCCGACTTAACGTGCAAAAATATCAGTGTTGATCTTGACTCAGCTGGCCAAGTCCTTACTTTAGTGAAGTTCAGTAATCATTATTTCCTTTGCAATTGAAGTTCTTAGAATAAAGGAAAATGTTCAGTGAACTGCAGTTCATACTAAAGTAGAATCTTCCTTCTTATGCATGACCATATAGTCTTAAATATGAAATATATATTCAAGAATGAGTTTTTTTAAAGATGTACTTTATTTATTTAATATTACCTAGCAGTTGCTTACTTGAGTTAGATCAGTACAATGGACGTAGTAATCCTTATCTATTCATTAACAAGAATAACATTTTCAATCTTCTATTCAACTTTATATAGCCGGAG